CGGGGCTGAGGGGCTGCCGGGGCTGAGGGGCTGCCGGGGCTGAGGGGCTGAGGGGCCGCGCCCGCCGCACCTGCCGGGCGGGGCGGGCGGCGCCGCGGCCGCCCCACGTGCCGGGGCGGGGAGCGGCGGGGCCGGGCCGGGCCGGGCAGCGCCGCCCCCAGCGCCGCAGCGGCAGCGGCAGCGCAGCCCCGCTCAGCGCATCCCTCTCGCCCATGCCAGGTGCTCGTCCCCGGCTGCGCCGCGACTGAGGAGCGATGGGGCCTCTGCGGGAGAGCAGCAAGGTGAGCAGCCGGGCACGGGCGGCGCGGCGGGGAGAAGCAGGGGCGCGCAAATCGCGTCCTGCCCCCGCCCTGGGGGGGGGCGGAGGGGCCGGGATTTGCCTGCCCCTGCCTCGATGATGGAAGGAGGAGGGCACATCCGAGAGGTTCCTGACGGGGTGTCCCTTCCCCAGCAGGAGCAGAGGACGCAGCTGGAAAAGGAGGTATCCCGCAGCCGCATCCCCCGCTTGGTCCTGCGGCCGCAGCAGAAGGTATCTCCCGCTTCCGAATCGCCCTTTTCGGAAGAGGAAAGCCGGGAATTCAACCCGCCCAGTTCCTCCGCGGGCTCCGGCAGGACTGTCAGCAGCAACAGCTTCTGCTCAGGTACCGCAGAGAGATGCCCAGCCCCGGGGTGTCTGGAGCACGGTGTGCCCCGCACGGCAGCCCCGCGCTTCGCTGTATTCCCAGCCGCAGCGGCCGCGTCTCGGGCTCCCATCGAGCCCGCATGAGCGATCCGTTTTACCGATGAAGAAGGGCGACCATTGATTTTTCCAGGGAAATCTAGTATCTGTTCTTTTAATATGTGTCCGTAAGCGACACCAGATGTTTCCATTCCGCGTTCTGCTATCCACTGCTAAAAAAGTTGGCGGTTTTATTGTGGCAGAAGCGTTGCTTTAAAGAGAAATATTTGCCTTAACAACTGCAGCGTGGTATTAAGGCGTTTTGAAAAGCCCTTAAATCAAAAGTCGGCAAAACAGGGGAGTTGCTATCAGATTGCAGTGTCTTTTGTTTTTTTCACAACGATCTGCATGAACTGGAACAGAATATGTAGGTGAAGTCTTCACTGTCATACAGAAATAAGTTTTGTTTATTTCAGAATTCAGGCTTCTACTGATGAATGTATCGCCAGATATGAGTTGGGCATGATGGCTTCTCTACAGAGAGGGCGATGGATATGTGATTAGAAGTAAATCATTGCTCTCCAACTATAGACCAAAAAATGTAATTTGCTGTTCAAAATATTACATGAGGGACAACTCGAAAACAGATTTTTTTTTATGTTCAATATTTGCCTTGTGTAGAGTTTAGCACAATTTAAATGCCTCAACTGGCAGTGAAATACTCAGATGCCTACTAGTGGTGAGCAATTTTTTAAGTCAGTGAAACTCTTCACTGTATTTGTCATTAATGTACATGCATAACAGAATTGAGGGTCACATCATGAACACCTTGGACTCTATATGCCCATGCTAATTCAAAAGGTGTTTCTGGTGTGGAGAAACTTGTTTTCAATAGTCAGTGTTTTGGAAAGCATAATATTTTCAGTGGTGGATTGGAAGTGCTAGGTTGGACTCAATGACTTTAGAGGTCTTTACAACCTAAATGTTTCTATGATTCTGTAATTCTCTATTTAAAAATCTGAATTATAAGAAGTATTTTTGCAATAGTTAGTATCAGAGCAACTTCTTAGGCTTCCTTTTCTTTAGGTCATGAAGTGTTTTCAGTTACCAGAGGTGTTCCTGGGAATAGTCAGGAACATTCTTATTTATCTTGGTCTTCACTACAGTGGATTAGATGACTGTTCTTACTTTTTTAACTCATTTAATGAAAAATAGTGTATTGAACACAATGTGCAAGTTTTCTTAGATGAGAAACACAATATCCATGTTTGAGTCTAGCTCTGCCAGATTTTGCAATTCAGGCTCAGTGGAATGATCTATTTGATTATTGTTTAATGAACAATGCAGAGCATTAAACAAACATCATAGGATTGTAAGAATGCTGGAGTCTTTTTCCCATGCTTTTTAATCCCTCTACTTTACCTGCTTGAGTTTGCATGTTCCAAAAAAATAAAATCTTTTGAAGCTTTCTAGAAAAACGGTATTTTTATGATCTCGTCCAAATGGCTGCTTTTCATCCTGATTTTTTTCCTTCTGTGTTGACAAGCCTTTCATCTTGATCACTGACATTTTTTCATCTTTTGTATTTGTACCCTGATCTTCAGATCTACTCAACAAGTAGCTGCCACTGTCATATGCCCTTGTTGTCCCACTGCACTGCAAAGGCTGCCTTGAGTCCCAGCAGCACGTTGTTTTTATTCTGGGTGTGTCTGATCTCATGGCTTGACAGTTTTAAGGCACCTTTCACAGAGGTATTGCAGCGTGCACTGCTAGTCTCTTAACCTGCATCTTAAGCACAACTGCTCAACTCTTTTATTTATTTTATTAATCTTATAATATTTCATGCATGCTGCAATTATGTAATCTGATTTTTTTTTCTCCATGTGAGAGCTTTGTGTTTCTAAAGCTACCTGCAGCACCCATACAGGTACATACTACGTGGTTTGCTGCTCTGAGTCTACAGACTTTCCACAGCCATGGATCAGCCAAGGCACTGTCCTCCATCCTAGACCCTGGTTCAGTTGTTGCTAGGTTTGATGGATTTTTCACTGGGATGCAGGTACGGCAACAATCACTGTCTTGATTTCCTCATTCTCTGACATCTCTTTCCTGTCTTCCACTTATGATCCTTCCTTATCAGCATTTGTCTGATTTAGAGTGAAATCCCCCAGGGGCAGCAGGTGGCTGCTAATTCCTGTTTCTGGGGTGGAGATGGTAAACAGATGTGTGGAGAGGTGAGTGGAGGGGCCATAACCCTAACTTGCCTCTCCTGGTGCTTCTTAATTTAGAAGTAGCATGTGCAAAAAGAGTATTTAAAATTAGCAAGTAGTACATTTGGAAGATGACAGCAGATGGGAACACTAATGTAGCAGTATGAGAAAGTTCATGAGCATTTGGATAAATGTCTCTTTTGTAATTTTTTTTTGAGCACTAAACCCCAAAATGTTTTTGATAAGCAGCAGATAGTATGAATTGATCCCTGGAATAGTTCCTTTCCTCTTTACCCTTCTCTTGTCTAATTGTTCTCGTCTACATTTCTTCCATTATTATTGACACCAAATAATGATCTATAGATTTCTTTTTACCGCAAAAGAAATTACTCTTTTCCCCTCATCCATTAAATATGCATTTTTTTGCTTCATTCCCTAGAGCTTCTGATGTTGTCCATTTTCCTTGTGTGCTTATGCTGATCTCAATGCCTAAGTGAAGGCTTGGAGTTCCTTCTTTCTAAATGAGGGTAAATCTTGTAGGTATTAATAATGTTGGTTTTGGGAACCATGGCAGTGCTGCAAGCATGGTGGTAACAGCAAAAAATATCTCTTGGCAACAGAAAAGAGACGGCCTTTGTAATGCTTAGTTTCTTTTGAAGAAGTTGTTAGTTCTGGCTGTGATAGGTTTAAATTTGCATGATCAGCTCCCTCTTTGTCTTGTTTGAGTGAATCAGAGCCTCACTTGATCATGTTGGTCAATTATTTGCAGTTGACTTTATGTCAGTTTTGCTTTGTAAGTCCATATGAAACAGTGAAAGTGTTAGTAATATCTGTGTTACTCCTGACAAAATTTTAATATGCTTTTATATGTGTTTTAATAGTCTTTGTTTCTGCCAAGTGAATGTGCATGCTGTCCAGATGCTATGTAGGCAAGCTGAGCTTTTGTGTTTGCATTCACCATGCACAACCCTTTCTTAAGACCTTAGAGCATCTGGGGTCTTGGTTGTCATTTAGTATGGGAGCACTTCTTCTGCTTGGATGTTAGCCACATAACTCATATGATGTCAAATAATAGAAAAACACTCTCCCAGCAGCTTTGTGTGGCTCACCTGCTACAGAGCATTTGCTTGTGTTTCTCTCCTAAGTTGCTCTTGGCTTCCAAGTGGCTGTGTGCACTTACCTTGTCAGTTGTGCAGAGAATGTGATCCAGAGCATCTCAAACAGGCCTCCTGCTGAGGGATCCATGGAGGAGCAGCTGCTGGGCCTTTGGTCATTCCACTTAGTGTTTTCTTTGTAAGAAATATGATACTTTGGGCAAAGCACTATCCTTGGTTTTGGTGTACATCTCCTTGGTTTGAAGTCAGCCTGTGCTAAGCTCAGCAAGTGTATACAGCTTCTCCTTTAAAAAGGAATTTAGTCTGGGATATATATTCTTTTCTACTTTTGATTTTTTAATAGCTCAGCTTTTAAATTTCTCTGTATGAAGATGACTTTACAACAATGCCCAATTCTCTTTCAGCCTTTTCTAGGATGCCAGCTGCCAGAATTTTTGGTAGGGAATGCAGTGAAGCTTTGGTAATCAAGATGCAGCTTTGCAGGAAGCACTTGTACATTTAATAATTAGTTCAGCAAAGGAATTTTTGAGCCAGAGGACTTGGTTTATACCTGTAGCAAACAGTTCCTCTTTTCTTGGGCTTACCTGTAAATCACCTTTTTTGATTAGACTGAATAGTCCTACGAGCTATTGAAAACCAACATCTCTGCACATCAATAACTGTGACTCACTCCAACGCAGTCTTCAAAAATAGGAGTTGAAGCTTTGTTTTTGCTTTTTCTTTAAAACTTCAAGATCTGGTTCAACACTTACTCAATCCTTGTTTCATAACTTGTTCTTTTCTGTGGCAGCGATTTTATTTAAATCTTGTCCTTTGCATGTGTGGCACAATAAATGTCACGTGTACAGGGGCTGCACTGTGAGCCTGGGGTGTGGGTGCTGCAGCAGGAATCTCTCTGTTGCCGTTCCTTGCTCACCTGCTCCTGTGCCCTTGATCTCAGAAATTACTTGCCTGTTGGCCCAGCTATTGGTGGATGCCAGGGCTGAGTTCACTGTGTGTCCAAAAAAGCATGTAGGCTTGAGGCAGGCTTATTAAGTCCATGTGAATGCACAACCCATCTTGCTTGCCATAGACAAGAAGAAGAGGTTGTACAACCATTCCTGAAGAAAAAAAGCTGTGCCTTCTCCAGTAAATAATTTCTCTGTGAGAGCAGGTTGCATTATAAAGCAGCTTGCCTTGGAGACTGCTCTAAATAAGTATGTATACTAAAATATATATTCCTAAACAGAAATAGATACAGAAAACTAAATTTTTAGTATTTTAACAAGTCAACAGACTGAGGCCAGACAGTTAGTTTAAATTACTGAAAGTAGTTGCTCCTATTGTTTATATATATGTATCTACTACTATGGAAACAGTGAGGTCTCTCATTCTTCTTGTTTCTGGTTATACGAAAAAATATTTTGTTTAAATAGTTCCTTACTGGTTTATGTGTTTGATTTTTTTCTCTGCTTAAAAGTTCTCAAGTATGTGATGCTGAAAGTTAGATTGTCTTTCCTACAGTCCTTTATTATAAGCATTCCCACAGTCATTTTGCCTTTTTTTTTTTTTTTGGTCTTCTGAAGGTCTCTTCTAGCACTTTTGTTCACAGCATTTTGTAAGGCAACTCAGTGACATTAATTTGCAAAAACATTGACACAAAATCTGCTTTCAAAAATACACATATGACCTTTTTTCATGAGCATGGCACTGGTGACATGCTTCCTTTTCTCACTGCTGCTTCCCTAGAGAATTTCCTGCTGGACCAGCTTACATGCAATAATTTATTATTGCTTCATATTATGAGCCACCAGTTTTGTTACTGTGGCACAGAGATCTGTTCCAAACCTGGAAATAAGAACAGTACCTAGGTACTAAAGAGCAAAGTCTGCTTGTTCGCCAGTTTTTGGCCTTTCCCTGCTTCCCTTTCAACTTCAGTATTTAATCCCCCTGACTAAGTAACAATCCTTTTGTTCCTTTTGCCACACAACAACATCTGGAAGCCAAAATATTTGACCTTTTGGATGTTTTTTATCACCTTTTTATGTGTCTGTCAGTACTGTGAACCTTTAAAACCCAATCCAGAGCCTCCTGGGGTCAGCAGGACAGTTCCCATTCTCCCTGGAACATTTTGCATGGCGTCCTGAGAACAGTCACCCTTTCTACTACACCTCAGACTTTCTACTGCCCTTTTTTGTTATAGCTTGCTCTCTACTATGGGCTGAATTCTAAACACTATCTAGTATTTTCTTCACCACAAATGCATAATCCAATACTTTTTTTTACAGTGCTTTTCATGCAACTTTCTATTGAGTTGAATGTTGTCATGCACTCTGAAGAAAATCATAATAGGAATGAAACTTTAATCAGAAGTCTTGGATTTACTTTGTGTTAAAAGAGAATCGTGATGTTTTAAGAGAAATTCAGCATTATATATTTTAGCCCTACATTTATAGGATTAGTATATATCCATGAAATTTTCAAACAGTGGTTTGAAGTGTATGTGACTAGATTCTGTGGTGCTGCTAAGTGCCACTCTAGCCTTGAGGATAGTTAAAAGAAAAGAGAAAAGAAAAATATGCATAAAATAACAATGGACAGAATATATATTATTTCCTTCCATGAGAAGGTAACCAGAGCAACATTATGAGGTGATGATGAAGCTGTGAGGGTCACAGTTAAATGCTGTCAGCCATGGAGGCAGAGCTATATGAGACCAAATAAGTATAACATGTTGCACCATTTGAGGAATAGGTACAAAATTCTTTGTGGTCTACTGAAGATTTTTATTTCCCAAAATGGTGCCTTCAAAACTGGAAAGAATATTTCTAATTTCTTTCTTTACATAATGGAATAAACCATACAAAACCCCACAGAAATCCATCTGTATATACACATACATTTCTCTTAATGTTAATATTAAATGCATAGTATTTCTTACACTGAATGTAGTCAATGCTTTCCCACCGGAGGTAGCAGCAGTGGCTCCACTTCCAGCTGTTATCCTCGCAAGATTAATGAGGTCTACTAAATTGCTTAAACCCATACCAAACAGAAAAGTCTCTTGTCTTTTTTTTTTTTTTTAGATTCTTTCCTGTCCTTACATTTAGTTTAAAATTTCTATAAAATTTTCAAATATGTTGTTCAGTCCTTTATCACCTTAAACTCCTTATCCAGATGTTTTCTGTGATGTGATAATGAAACTCGGGGAGCTGTGCTATTCCTGACTACAGTTCTCCTAGTAACAGTACTATTTTTATTGATATTTTTACTAGTAAGCCCTTATGCTTCTCATCTGTAATACACCATTAGTAGGGCTATAAATGTAATGACAAAGCCAGTAAACCACAATTACATAGCCCTCTTTCTTTTCATATATTTTGACAGAGCTTGCTTCAGTCCTGTTTGTTAGTGAAATGTTCAACTAGAAGGAACATTAGTAGATTTGCTGTCAAAATCAATTAAAATTAGCTACTTCAGTATGACTTAGCAGTTGCATAGTCAAACATCAAGAGCAGATTGCTTTAAAGACATATTTATATGAAATCCTGCATTGCAAAAGATGCCCAAGCTTAGGAGCAGGTCAGTCCATCTTTTTTCACCTTCCTCTCTCCTATTCTGTATTATCTCAGCCTGTCAGCACTCCTGCCATGCTGTGACTGAGTAGGGAGGGCCTCTTACCAAAGTCAGTGAGCAGCTCTCATACTAAGTTTTCAGCACTTAGTGGGCAGCCAGTGGGTGTGACAGAAGCCAGCTCAAAGGGGCTGGTGCGCAACAGGTATAAAAGTTGGCTGTACATTGATGATCCTCAGCAACCAGTTGAAGATGTTTAGTTGTGATTTTACTGGGTTACATGGTAGATTCCATGACTAGAACATTACAGTCAAAAGTTCTAGCTTGAAAGATGTACCGTGAATAGCAGGTTGTTTTCCAGAACTGGAATATCTGATAAAAAGAAGATCATATAGGTTGGAGGGACCTGTAGAGATCATTTCATCCAGCCTCTTATTTAAAGCTGGACTGTTCCCAGCACATCCCAGCAGCCATGTATTTGTCTGTCAAGAGTCTAGAAACCCTTCAAGGACAAGACTTTGCACAGCCTCTGTAGGTGACCTCAGGGAGTGGTGGAGCTGCTAGCCAGCTTTTGTTCACAAGCAAAATGGAGCATAGTTAATTCTGGTTTTGCCTGCAGAGACACCGAGATTAAATGTGGAATTACTTGCATGGCAGGATTGTGCATAAGTAGGCCTCCTCTCTTTTCCTGACACTGCTGTAGTTGTCCTTGTGCTTCAGCTCTGCTTTACTGTGTTTGACTTTTGGTAAGAGACTTGCCTCACAAGTACGTCATATTCTGAGAAATCTTCTTAAATACCAAGCCAAACAGGTCTTCAGAATAGCTAAGAAATTACTTTTAAATTGATCAGAACCAAAACCAGTAGCATTTTTAGGACTCTACCTTTAGTGAAGTTAATAAATATATTTTTCTGAAGTCTGTGTGATTATGTAAGTGACAAATTGTTAGTAGCAAATTATTAAACTTACAGAGTACATACAATCACATACTGGAATGGCCACTACACCTCAGTACAAATGAAAGGTTTTAGTACAATCAGGAGCTGAGGAGAATATTCCCACTATTTACCCTAGGCTGTGCACCCTCAGTGGTTGCTGGAAAGGGGAGGGTGCCTCCAGAGGTGTGAGGTAGGTGTGAGGTGTTGAGATCCTCCTGGTGTGAAGCTGAATATGCTCCTACCTCTGCTTTTCGATGTGTACTACTAATTTTATACTCTGATGCTTCATCTGCTGCTTTTACTGTGTTTCCCAGTTGTTCCAGAATGACATTGTGACTCTGCCATCAGCTGTTTTCTCTGCTGGGCACTGAGCCCTCACATCCCTGGTTCAGCTGCCCAGGTCAGAGCAGTGGCTGTGTTAGTTGGAGAGAGCTGCAGCCCTGCAGGCAGTGAGTCAGAGTACTGGGATGTCTTAGCCTGAATGGGGACTCGCCCTCCAGAGAAGCCTCTTTCTCTCTGTTTAATACAGAAAGAGACTTGCAGGTGGAAGATAGGTGCTGTATTTCCTTTGGTGTCTGTCAGCAACTTTCATAATTGAATAAACACCCCTGTGCTATAAGGCTGGCCATGAAGAGAAGACCAAAACAGTTTCAAAAACTGATGGTCAAAAAAGGTGAGGCAAACAAGCAAACCCTGAAAAATTACCCTTTGTGATACCCTCACTGCCAATAGCCATCTTGCAGTGCACCTTCCTGGCAGAACTGTGGCTACCCAGACTAACAGATCCTGGGATGAATACAAACATAACCATCAGGTAAAAGCCACGAAATTGTTTTTGTCTTGGTACACTGAACATTCAAAATTCTGTTAACAGACGTGTTTAATTCCAGAATGCACATTTCTTGATGGAAATTCAGACTATGTACAGCCTGAGTCTGGGGACTCTTACGAGGACACAAATTTTGGACAGTGAAATAGGAATCAGGCAGGAACTGGACCATTCAGTGTCACAGGAGTGCCTAACTCAATCTGGCAGCTAGGAATAAAAGTAAAAAGAAGTCAGTGCTTCCTCAGTGAGAACATCATTAATTATTTACATGTGTTCTATAAGGAGGTTGTATATTCAAAGCTTCTTGAAGCCTTTTGGGAAAGGCAGTATTTTTTTAAAGAAGGTTCTAAGGCATATTCTAGTGAACCTTCTAAGATATCTGCACTGAAAAAATCATCACATCCTAACATATAGCCTAAAAGTCTACAAGAACAATATTTTTGTCAATTGTTCAGAGTATTATTATCTTTAATATTGCTGTTTATAGTTTGACTTTATTGTTTAAAGGTTACTCAGGGCATGCAAATGTCAGAGTGCTCTGAGCAACTTTCCTGATGGTTTGTTTGAGGAGACACTATCCCGTGCTTGGCTTTGAAATTTGGCAGGCATGTCTGATCTGGGAGAGGGCTTGGACGTACAATTTCAAGTGATGAAATCCAGCTGATGTTCAAAGGAAAAGTCTACTCCCAGAATGCTCCTAGGAGGCCTCTGTGGAAAAAAAAAAAGACACTGTGAAAGAAAGCAATGGAAGTCGTGTGTTATGAATTCGTGTGGTTTTACCTCTTGTGCAAGTAAATTCAGGCAAGAGCAGAAATGCAGGCTTTCATAGCAGTATTTACCAGTTTTCTCTTTTTTGTCTTCCTGATGCTGATGTGCCTGAGAAGGTAAATCAGGTCTGCCTCTGATCCTGAGGAGTCTAAGGTCTGAAGTCCTTACTGGGGCAAAATTCCAGTTGAGTTACAGGGGTGAATCCTTAACTGACCTTGCTGGACACTATATGCACATCATATCATAGAGTGAATCCCATTGTGGGCTCATCTTCTCCTTACCCACTTTTTTAAGAGAGATTCTTTATCCTACCATTTCTGGGCAGGTGGAGGTCTTCACTTTCTTCCAGCAGAGCTTCCAGCAGGGTTTAGGAGGAGCCCGCAGGTCTGGGGGAAATCCTGGACGCACCGTGCTGCAGTCACGTTGTGGGTGAGGAGCAGTCACTGCTGCAGTGAGCAGGGAGGGTGGCCAGGCTGTCTGGAGATGGAGGGGGAATCAGCTCCACATCAGGCTCCACAGGGAGGGCTGCTGCTCTCCTGTGGGGGTTCACCTGCAGTATTAAATACAAATACAGTGCCTGTTAACGTTTCAATTGCAGGAAAGATGAAGGTAGGCAGGCAACTGGCTGGCACTAAGCAGCTAGAGAGCATCTCACTCCTCACCAGGATTTTTCCTTGTGCCAGGAGGGTGAGCTGTGCATTGGGTGGATCCCCCCAATGTACAGCAGAGCTTTGACAGTGAGCATCAGGGTTTCATAGGCAGCTCTTCCATTCTGTAGTAGCAAACATCTTGATTACTCAAAAGGCTGGCACAGAAAAATCTTTCTGTACAGCTTGCCCTAGTTCTGGAAAATTTATAATTTTGTTCATGTTTCTGGTAATAGTAGTAGAAAGATGATAAGTTTTACATTGCATAAAAAATAAACTATCAGAGGAGAGGGAATACAATAAAATCATTTATTTTCTGTAGCTGGAGTGGAAGTGCTCACTTGGTTATTGGTGTATCTAAAGGTTACAAGGTGTATGAGTAGAGTTATTCTTCTTTGTGCCAGGCTAATTTGTTCTTTTAAAAAATGCCCTGTTGCACTGAAAGCTGAAGTTCTTAACAGTAAAACAAGGATATGTAGATATGACATAATCTGATGGTACAGTGTCACCAGTGTGATATCACAGGCAGTGTTGGAGGTGGTAAGTAAAACATTTTGGTGCTATTTTAGTATGTATTCTTCAGCTACCTTTTTCCCCATTGTATTTAGTTTTGTACATTTGGGGGCTTTAGTGCCCCAATTTTTAGCACTGTAGTTGATTTCTTTCATTGTGCAAAGTTTTACCAACTCCTGTAGTTCTTCCACGCTGCTTCTCTATAGCTTTTGGAGTTATTTATACATAAATTCTCCCATATAAAACAGGTCTGTCAGGTCTGCAGAACCTCCTGTGCAGGTATTGCAGTAACTGTATTGGTGAAAAATGAGATAAATAGTTTCTTGTGAGTTTGGGTGGAAGGCTTTGAGAGGGGACTTAACTTTGGGTTTTGGTTTTTATGTTTTGAGGGGGTTTTTGTTTGTGTGGGGATTCTTTGTTGTTTTTGTTCTAACAGAAAGTTTGGAAACTAATACCACATACAGAAACATCTAAGTGGAAAAGTCATAATTAAAAACAAACTGCACAAGCTGTCACTTATTTCTGAATATATTTGATTATAAATGTTTGTGTGCTTCCAAAGAGAGGATGCTTCGGACACAGCTGAAGCAGCTACTTAAATGCAATTCAGGAGCTCACTCAGTGGTGCTGATCCACTGTACTGCAGGTAATATTCACTCAGCCTGCAGATGAAACTCCAAATGTTGGAGAAAGAAAAACAGATGCTGATCTGGGAGGAAATTGCCACCTTCTCTCTTCTTTGTGTTGAGTTATATTGTGATGTTGGTGGGAAGGGAAAGGATAAAAAAGTAAACTACAGTCATGTGGGAAACAATCTGTCATTAGTCAGGATGTATGCAGGGGCAGGCTGAAAAGCTTACTAGCAGTTTTCTCTTTTGTTATTTTGCTAGGAACTAATTCTAAGTTACAGAAGGCAGCAGCAAGACGGCAAATAGAGATGCTTTTTGGCTTAATTGGGATTATTTGAAAGAATTAAATATGATTAAGATGGATTAGGTGCTTTGCACTGTTACTGCCGTTCGTGCCCTGGGGGGTGTTTCTGGCAGTAGGCTGGGCTGCCCCTTGGCTTGGCTCATTCCTGGCACTTGGCAGAGGCCTGGGATGCAGCACTTCAGGCTGCTGGCTGCTCCTGCAGCCTAATGCATGCAGCTTGCTCTGCACAGTCAGCAGCTGGGGGTACCTTGCTCGGGACTGAAGGCAGGAGATGGAGAAACGAGAAGCAGAACCTTGGAACAGATGAGTGAGGGTAGAACAGTTGCCCCGGCATGAAGGAAAATTGGATCGCATGAAAGAGTAAAGTTTTTTTACTGTATTGAGGGAGCAATAGCTAAAAAAAGAAAAAGCTGTTCTTCCCTGCTGAGGGGAGGTGGGTAGAAAGGTGTTAGACATGGGTGTCCCTTCTATCTCATAAACCTGCAGTCATGCACTGACTTTTAAATCAATATGCCCGTGCAAAATGACTCTTGACCTACATTACGAACAGGGTGGAAGAGGTAAGTGCAACACAGTCATGCAAATTATTTGGCTCTGTTGCAGGTACTTTGGGTTTCATGTTAGCTAACAATAATGCATCGGGAGAAGAGTGCAATGGCTTAATTCAGACGGCAGCTTTCATTTTAACCTGGGAAAGAACAATTAGATTTCTCCAGGAGGGTCAGAGTAGCATTTTTGGTTTTGTTAAACCACCATGACTTCTAGGGGAACTACAATTACTCCAGATAACATGGAACGTGATTTGGAGTTTGATATGTGGATTTCATTCAAAATCAGACTGCTTACTTTGCATTCAGTTGTTAAGGGCTGGTGTGTTTGTATCCCTGGAGGTCAGGAACCTGGGTCTGTTCCCAGGGTGGCTGTTGATGCCCTGGAGTGCTGGTGTGCCCTCAGAGGAATTCAGCTTTAAACAAAAGCAATCTGTGTGTAACCCACGCTTTTCTAAACTAGGTACCTCACAGCCACTTGTCAAGTATAGAAGAGTTCTATGATCATGGCTGCTTTTAAAGGAAAGACAATTTTGAGGAACTTGTATTAGTTCCAGTTACATGAAATTCCTTACTTCATGCATGTGGGCTGTAGGCTGTTGTCTTCTTGTTCAGATATGGGAACATTTCTTAAAGGAGAGCATGTCACCCGTGCTTGCTCTGCAGCCAGTGTGCACTACACAACATTTGTGTCTTGAGTATTTTCCTGCTGCAATATTCCTTAACCTTGCTAAAGGAATTTGTCTTCGATAGGAATTTGCATTATGTAGCCCTTGAGTTTGTATTTTGTCAGACTGGGTAAAACAAGTACTTGCCCTTTTAGCTTGCCATAAGCTACTCAAGATTTCTTCACAAAATGCGTGAAACAAATAGCTTCTCACCTCTTCAGAGCCAAGGTTGTACATATCACTTACTGTAAAGAGTTGTAATTCAAACACACTTTTTTTTATTCTGCTAACTTTCATATACTTACTGGTTAGAAATGTTGATGCTTTCCCTTTTCTCTTCAGATGACACTGGCTGTCCTAGTAGCCAGTCAGTATCTCCAGTTAAGACTCCTTCTGATGCTGGAAACAGTCCAATCACTTTTTGCACTGGTAGTGATGGAGACTTTGCCAGGAAGAAACTCAGTGCAGGGTCAATGAGTGAAGGGAATACGCAGCTGGCTCGATACAAGAAGGAGACAAAGACAAGTCTTGTAAAGCCCGGTGAGTATAATTCCTTTCATTTCCTTAATCACACTTTCTAATTGATTGGTATATTTACAGGTGTCTACATATATGAACACCTCTGTTGTGCCACCTGTTGTACCACTAATGCTGATAGTAAATAAAATAGGTGGCTTCTTTCTGTGGAACCACCTGAAAGATATGAAAACACTATTGTTATTGTCCTTTTCATGGAAATATAATCAACTGATATCTTCACTTTTTTTTAGGAGGCTCAATGGTAATATCAAATAGCTGAAATTGATTTTATTCTGCTTCATAGTAATTGCACACATATTTCAGTGCCCAAAGATAAATGACTCTTAATATATGAAAAAGTCTTGTGATGTCCTTAAATTTTTTGTTGGATCCTGCCTAAACTTTTGCGCTCAGGCTCTGACAGCTCTGGGGATACAAGATGTCTGGCAGGCAGCCTGTGTGTGGGAGCTGGGCAGATTTGGATCTGTACTGCATTGGCTGAATCAAGAGTGTATCTCCCTGTGCTTTGGGCTAATGGGCCACCTCAGACAACCAGCCAAATCAGCACCTGCTTGTCACACATCCGAGACTAAATACCCAGATGTCCCATTGGTTCCTGTAATTTTAGTGAGTTGATATAAAATACTTTATATCGTTTGATTCATGTACAGGCAGCTCTTGATTACAAATGGTCAGGATATTTGTGCTGCTGTTTAATTAATCATGGAGACAGAGTTGGCCCTGTACATAGCCAGCTGCAGAACTGACATGGTTTATGAGCTCAGGTACTTCCTGCCTATATAGTTTCCAGAGTCACTTTACCTCTGGAAGCAATTTAGATACTTTCCTGAAAAACCAGCTCAGATTTGCCAGCACCATTTTTAATCCAGAAACAATGAAAATCTGTTACAAAATCTCTTCACTGGCTTGGTCATTGGAAGGGTTGATTAAATCTGTTCTACCATTATCCCTGCAAGTTCTTTGGCTGATTTCATAGTATCACGTTACCTGAGTGTTCCCAGTCTCCCACTGCTGTGCATAATGGGTGATAGGTAATAATCTTTACAAGGCTTGCAGTGAATGTGGTACATGACAGTCAAATCCACAGCTGTGGCTACCACAACAATTTTGTTTGTGAATATGAATGTCGCTTAGCAAAATGTGAATAATTAATGCAAAAGTTTTTTTCTAATAAAGAGTCCTATACTCATGGAGAAGAGTTATGCACCTTTTTCAAGAAATTAATTCACTTGTTTTCAGTTTTACACTTTAATTGACTTATAATATGAAGTTATTAGCCTTTTGAAATATTCAGCAACCAGGTCTGTTTTACAGAGTACTTCTAAGTTCCTCCTGACAAATATCTCACAGTTTGGTTTTTTTTGTGAAAAGCTGTTAAAAATCATGTCGTAGTGTGAGAGCTGACACAAGTGAGGGACATGTCAGACATGGATGCCAGGGGACAGCTGGGGTTCATTTTCTTCAGTGTTGGCCACAGGGGGGGGTTAATGTGATTTTCTCCCATTGCTATCTCATTCCATAGCTTCAGGTGGACCCAGTCTCTTCCTCATGACCTACTTGCACATGAATTTCTGGTGATTCAGTTAAGAAGATATAGCTATTGTGCAAGGAGGAGGCATCACCATGTAGCAAAACATGCAGAGAATAACAAGGGATCAGTAGAAGGGAAGTGGGATATGGAGGAGAATAACAGCAACATGTCCTTGTCATGTATAAAAGAAATTGTGTGCAATTTTCTCCTTACCAAAAGCCTTTCTTGATTTATAGAGATTACATCTACTTCATATTAATCTGAAATGGCTTGTGACAATGATCACATAGCAGGAGTCATATATAAGAGACAAAAATCTAGCCTACCACTGTTTTTTACCATGTCCTGCACTACATTTTTTACACAAGTACATCCATCACTGTGGGCCTTCAAAATTCCTGTCATTTTGCTGAAATCTGTCTGTTTCCAGTATTGTTTTCTTGGGACATGCTGAATCTCAAAAGAAACACTTAAACAAATATTTAGATAATTCAGAAAATGTCAGAAAGGGATAGGTCTGAGAATGAGCCCTGGGATGTTTTTGGGCTGTTCCCAAGCTCTGATACTTTTCTGCTTCTCTGGTAACATCACTTCATCTTTCTTTTCTGTACTTCAAAATGCAAAATACACACAGCCTTTTTTTCCTCTCAAACAGCCTAAGGCCTCGTTATATGAATCTAAGCCATCTTCACCTCTTGAAGTATTAACAGAATAGATAAGGCTATCATTCATATTTTATGTAGTTTGCATAGAGAACCATACATAATCCTGGAGTGCTCTTGCTAAACCTCTAAAATATTTATAACAATGGAGAAATTATTCATTTGAAAGAGATGGAAATGGTTTATATTGTGCATTAAATCCGAATCACAGCAGTGTAGAAGTGAATTTGGCTTAAAACCTGTACCTGCTTTCCCAGGGAAGCATGGAGAGAACTAGAACATTAAGGAAAATAATAGAACATCCACTCTCAGAGATAGCTACAAGTCTTTGAATTCTGAATTTTAGAAATTGGTCCTTCTTTTAGATGTGATTAATTTACATAATATTAAAAGCAGTACAAAATGTGTTGCAGAAAATGTCTTCAAAAAACGGCAGAAAAAGACTGAATTAATGTTGGTCTTAGTTTTGTATCAAGATGCTGTACTGGATCCTACACTTTTTGTAATTGAATAAACAGGACTGTAAGCACTTCTACATGCTCACATTCTTGTGTAGTCCTCCTAGAAAGATCCCTCCTGAATTCTTGTAGTTGATGTCCACATCCTGTTGAGAGCTGTGGGAATTGTTTTGCTTCCTTTGACAGTCTTTCCCATCTGCTTTTTTGACTTACATTAGAACACTTAGTGAGAGGATTCAAAATCTGCCTCTTTCAAAGACATGAATAAAGAAAAGAATCTTTAGCAGTAGTTGTGTCCATAACTTTTAAAAGTCTTGCATGTTTTAACTAACACAGACATATTTAAATCTCTGAGAAGGGCATCTGATCAGCTGTGTTCAGCATTTCTGTAAAGTTCAGGTCTTCTTGCTTTTGGTGTTGCAGGCACACTTGGGGCAGTTTACTGAATGTTTGCTCTTGGAACTGTTTCTTAGAGCCCATGGAATTGTTTCACATGAGATTATTAATCAAGGCTGTCCCAGACCTTTTAGCACCTTCAGGATCCTACATAATAGATGTGTAAACACCATGGCACAAAAGGAGCCCTAGGTGAGCCCCAATTAGGGTAAGCTCCCAAACCTTGTAAGGACTGCCTGTCTGTCACTCACATCTTGGTACAATAATAAACATTCCAGGTAGCAGAGGACTATGCAAAAAGGGTTTTTGTGGGTTTTTTTTCATTGCTAATAAAACATCTGGCCATTTATTACTGAATCTGGCTAAAATACCAATATTTTGGATTTCAGTGTCATTGAACTGCTATGGATTATATTTCAAGAAGGGTCATCACTGGAAGTTTG